ACTTATCATAGTCTTATAGTTTATTTCTTATATAATCAGATATTTTAAGTTGCTTTACTAGATAGTAATACAAGAAAAATAACTTTTTTGTTGTTCTGTTAGTTTGGTTTTGATGATTGTTGGAAAGAGTAAGTTATCTCAAAAATTTAATTAATAATTCTTATTCAAACAAATATTATATATTCTTATAGTTATATATAATATATTAGCAAAATTTCAATACTATTTTTTTGATTCAATTTTTTATAAATAACAATTATTTTTTTGAATTTGTTTGGATTTTGCTATTTTGCTAACAAGTATAGAAATATAGCTATTCAATCTCAATACTATTAATTCTAATCATCTTGAATTCTCAATAGCAATATATAACTTTAATCTACCAAATTTTAATAACTAATTCATTCACTTGTTACACTAATTTTATCTTCACCTTCACCTAGTTTAGTACCAAATTACCTTAGCCTGACCTCTACAAATAAAGAATTATAAATAGAAATAAAATCACTTAACCAGAAAGTTGAATATTTAAAAACAGAACTAGAGCTTTATAAAAATCTAGATACCAGTCCTTTGTAACTAGTATTTAAATATCCTTTGCAACAGTATTTAAAACAGGTTGAAGATTCAGAAGTAAATGAAATGCAGTATAAAAATTAGTAGCTTAAAAAAAAATGAAAAACTATACTTTTTTCATAACTTCTTATGAGTGAGAAGTTACTGCATTTGTTGAGAAAAGCAGAAGAAGATGCAGAAAGAATTACTAATAAAAAAAAAAAAAGATTGCTATCCAAAAATGAATAGTACAAGAAGCAGAGAAAGTGTAGAAACAAAAAATTCACAAGCAAAAAAAAGAAGAAAGAGAGCATACGAAGTTAGAACAACAGCGTATTAGAGAGGAAAAACGGCTTAGAAAAAAAAAGCAGTACTACCTGATTATCTAGTGTATGCCATTTTTTGTAGTTACCTTGAAGATCACGATTTTCAGAAGAAATTTTATGTATATAGAAAAAGTTTTTTTTTAATAAAAATTTTTTTTTAAAAATAAGAAAAAAACTTAATTCAAATCAAATTATACTTATCTCTAAAATTTGATAAGTGTTCGAAGCAATTTGAAAAAGTTTTCTCATCAACATATTTAACTGCGCCATAATACCCATACTCACCTTATGATTTTTCTAAAATTTTAACAAAATTTGAATATGCAAATTATGAAGTAATTGAAGTTTGCTCAAAATGCTACTTTAGTCGTTGTAATAGTTCTCATTTACTACAATAAATTAAAATAGAAATTGTAATCAATGCTTGAGCAATTCTTTATTGATCTCTATATTATTTATCAAATACCACTGTCAAAAAATAAAAAAGCGAAAAATAAAAGAAGTCCAACATGAAAGAACAACTGCTACTATTCTTCGAACACAACCTAGTGAGGTATCAACTTCAGCTGCTCCTATTATCCTCGTTATAAATTAAATATGGAAAAATGTCAACCCAGAATCCACCGGGTTTAGATCCTCGTTTATGTTGACTTTGAATATGACAAAGAATTATTGACGGAATAGTTGAATTTGTAACATGATTAAAAGGTATCTGCAGTTATTTTTTGAACTTCCCGATATTTTTTATTTTTCATAGAATCTTTTAATAAAGATAATAAAATAACAATTCGTTATGCCAAGAACAGTTACTTGAGCGATCTCTATGAATACTGTACTCAATTGATAGTAAAAATTTCAAAGTCAGGTATAAAAAAAAAGATGCTTTTTTTGTAAATTAAAATGATTATCTCTTAATATTTTTTACTAATAAAAATATTTCAATTACGTAATAAACTATAATAAACTACGCATATTATTTATAATGATAAACGCAGTTGACCCGCTAAAAAGATTTTCCGCTAAGTAAAATTTATTCCCCGACACTTTTTGATCCATTGATTAAGGCGCTTGAGAACGCCCATAATGTCATAAAATCTGAAGCAATAATTTTAATGGACAACATAATTTTGGATTTTGCTAAATATGTCGTACTTGGAAATTTAAAAGAAACTAGTTGATTCTAAATTTGATACGATTATAAATGTGTAATAATCAATAAATTTAAAAGCATCTTAAAAGTTGATTCTAAATTCGATAAATGTTTTAATCAGGGTTGTCACGTTTACTATGTTTGTTCTATTGGTGCATAATTCTATTCACTTTTTTTATTTTTCTATTGGGAATTTGCAGTATAAAACTTTATTAATTAAATATAAAAATATTTTAAATTTATTATTTTATTAATGCTCTAACAATATATATTTAAATAATTACAAATTATTAATTAAAATATTTTTTTTATATTGAGACAAAAAATTGAGCTTTTATTCTATTTTTCTATTTGCCAACACTGGTTTTAATATATTAAAGGTAATGATAATTAAGTAATTAGTTTAAAAAATTTATATTTTTTATTTAGATTTATTTACAACTCCGGGAAAACCTTTAAAAATTATCATATGAAAAAAATACTACCGCTAATAGTATCACAATTTTTCATGTGATAATTTTACTTGCCTCTCGAGTACCCATTTAGAAAATCACTTTCCAAATATACTGACAGCAAATCGTCGGTTATAGAGATAAACAACTTAAAATCTTTATTAGACTTTGTAAAAATCTATTATAATAATTATTTTGCATGCGGTACGTTTAAATAAATTTATCTTAAAGCAACTTAAACTTCAGAACAATGTACTCGATAAAATTTTAGAATTCTATGCAGATTAGGAATTTATTTAAGTGGTTTCCAAATCATATGGGCTAATATGTATAACTAGAATTTAGTGCTCTAAAAAATTTTGATAGTGGGTCAGATAGTTTGACAATACACTTCGTCGCAGCCTATGCCAAAAAAAGTTAATTAGTCCTTTGGGACCGAATCCTGACCGATCCTAACGATCCTTTCAAGAATCTGTAAGGATTCGATCCCTAAATCACATGATAGTTATATGGGACCTAAATCCTGGGATCCTGTCCCTTTATAATTTCAAGATCTGCATTCGTTGAACGTCGAATAGTGAACTTTGGCAAGAAGAAATTCTTGCAATTGGCAAGTTTTTTTTTTTTTTTTTTTTTTTTTTTTGAAAGGCATAATACACCTTAATGAAACATTTATGGTCTCGGTTTAAGTATGTTAAAAGAGGAGGTAAGCGAACCGGGTCTCTATAAAAAAAAAAAAAAAAAAATCAAGATAAATCTTTTTTTTTATATATTTGATATATATACAATTTCGTATAAAATTTTTTTTGATATAAGTTATAATTTTAGTTTTTTTATATAAAAATTTTCTCTTTCTTTTTGTTCGCTTTAATAAAAAAAATTTTTTTTTTTGAAAAAAAATGTGAACGATTTGATGGGATGGGATTAGAGGTTGTACCCGCCTAAAAATTTTACTCACCCGTTATATCATTATTAACCGGGTCACAACCCGGGTTAATTCAAATAATTAGAGTAACCCAATGAACCCGGTTGACCCGGTTATTTAAGCCGACTTGAGTTGTATGTTCCCCTTTTTTCGTAAACTTTCAGAGTACTCTTCTGAAAATTTTGCTGCTCTTGCTCGTATTTTACGTTCATTGATATTCTCTTCGGAACTTTTCGGAGCCTTATCTCTCATTAACCAAATACTAACCAAATACCGGATCATCCGGTTAAACATAATTTATCCCAGTATAATATCAAAATAACGGTTCCCTGGTTGTCAGATAAACGGGTACAACCTCTAGATGGGATTGCAATCTAGGACCGGGTCCTAGGATCGATTTCATTCATGTATCAAGGATCTAGATCCTAGGACCGGACCGGACTGGATTCGCAATTTAACATCCCTATCTAAAATTTGAATGTAACGGGAACGGTTAACTCTTTATTCACAACGATAGCGATGTCAATGACATGCCACAGTGGGCTCAGACAAATAGTTAGACGATAATCTAATGGGTTTTCCATTATATCCTTTATGCAGAATGATGCAGAATGATACAAAATGATGCAGAATAGACCTTTAAAAAATCGAAATATAACCCTAATAATTCGTCAGACCAATCAAAAACAATTAAGGGAGTCGGATTAAATTTAGTGTCTCTACTTAAGGTCCAAATAAACCATATCAGATATGCCTCCATTCCGAAATACGACAGAATTATGACAAAAAAAAAAAAAAAAAAGTTTAAAAAAGTCTAAATTCAGCACCAAATCTTGTTGCTAGATCAGATATTGAAATTTGCGCACATGATAACTATAACGATAATCTATAATTCTGGTAGTTACATAAAATCGTGTAATTTTCGTATCGATATCTCAATGATATGCATTAGTGTCCAGAATTCTTCGGTGCATAAATATACTATGGCACGGTGAAGGGTAAAATCTGAGTTAGGGTAAGGGTAAGGGTGAAATCAGCTATGTTTTTCATTATACAAAAGCGGATTTCAACTCGGGTCATTTGATTTTATGATCAAAGTCACGTTTATCAAACAAAAACAATCGACCCAAATCAATATACTCATGGTTAAGATCTCTTGAATAAATATCCAGGGGCATATAATTTAATTGTTCAAATTCGGTAAAATCATATACCGATATACGTGTACGTATATAATATAGACGGTATTCCCGTTTCACGCTAATATCAAATAAGGCAAGGTGGAGAAATGAAGTATGAGTCACACGGGTTGTTATCTTTATTAAAATTACAAACAGCAAACAAAGCCACGCATGAGCTATTATTAAAACAAGTTTGAGCTTTACTAACCATATATAAAATGATTTACAATCTATCATTATATATATAGTATATATTAATATACCAGATTTTTTTTTCGAAAATTCTTCTCCTTGGTCATCTGTTATGTCAGTAGATGTCAAATGATTATGATTATGCATTAGAAGAGATTTAAAAAGATATTAGAAGCCGTTTTAACATTGTAACTGCTTTCACAAAAATTGATCAATCTAATGAATTCTCGCCAGATAAAACTTACAGTTTCCTATCTTTCAATCCTTCTAATATCTTGTGTTTCTGGCACTCATTATCTCTTCTCAGTATACAGTATCTCTATACAAGAAAGGTTAAACTTTAGTTCTGTACAAATAAACACTATTGGAAGTGCTTGTAATTATGGTGTATTTCTGGGTAAACCAGTTCTCGGTTATTTTGTTGACAATTATGGTGCTAGAAGGTTTGTTTTTGTTTCTTATTTTGAATCTTGTTAACATGATATTAATTTACCAGAATTTTTTATAGAGTATGCTTTGCCGCATCAATTCTAATTTTTGCCGGATTTTCCTGTCTTGCATTGACTTATGAAAAAATTTTTCCAACATCATTTCTCTTATGCGCTTTTTATTTATTTTGGACCGGAGTTGCCTCATCTGGAGGTACACTATTTCAGTTTTCATTTATTTCATCACGTTTTAGGAGTATTAATGCACTGTTAAAATTAATCCATCTTACCAATTTTAGGGGCGGTTTCATTTCTCACAACAACTGTAAGTCAATATAAAATAAAAATAAAATATATAAATCACAAAATCATTCCAAGTATTATATACTATCGGTACATACTTTAACACTTTATTAATGTAGGCAAAAAATTTTTCTTCGAATCGAGGTACTGCAATAAGTATCCCACTCGCCTTACTTGGCCTCTCTGCATTTATATATTCTCAAATAAACATGCACTTTTTCGACGATACCTTCCATTTTCTGCTATTCATTGCTTTCACGGCTGGATTATGTATGTCTTTTGGTAGTTTGTTTTTGGTTGTTATACCAGCTCCTCAACACGTATCCGATACCATTGAATCGGGCAGCAATGATTCAATCTCCAGAGATGATCAGCGAATTGAGCAAACTCCTCTACTTAATAAAAATAATTCTAATACTATAAATAGAGATCAAATCGAGCTAGATATAGGAGGGTGGCAATTACTTCGTAATAAAGATGCCATCTCAATGATTCTTATTTTAGTATTTTTTGCTGGAACTGGGTTAATGTACATAAATAACGTCGGTATAATAATTGAATCCCTTTATCACGCCTCCGCAACTCCTCATTCCGATGCCAAAATTAAAAACCTCCTAGGCTTTCACGTTTCACTCATTTCAATATGTTCATGTATAGGAAGAATTCTCATAGGTCCTCTCTCTGATATTGCAAAGAATTATTTCGATCTATCTAGGATTTGCTCTTTGTTATTTGCTGGTGTTTGGTTATTCTGTGGAAATTTATTGGCCCTTTTGTGGGTTCATGACATAGATCAGCTATGGATAGTATCAACTTGTATCGGTCTTGGCTTTGGAGTTTTGTACGGTGTTGCTCCAACTACTTGTAGCGAGTATTTTGGTTCTAGACACTTTGGCTTTAACTGGTTAGTTTTTAAATCTTTAAATTTGATGTGATTTTTATTTCAATTTATTTATAATATTTACGCGCTTTATATTTATTTTTTCTCTTGATTATAATATTTTAAAAGGGGTCTAATATCTTGCGTAAGTATCAATTCGCTGTCTCTCTAAACTTTCTTTCCAATCTATTAATTATCTTCTCCTTTTTTCCTTTGTAAATTTAGTTTCCAGCTTTAGGTGCTCAAGGTTTCAACCTTTTATTCGGTTACAATAACGATTTGCACAGAGAACATTGTACTGGCTCCGAATGTTATAATCTTGCTTTTTATTTTAGTACTATTAGTTGTTTAATCAGTATTTATATCGCTTATGATTGGTTTTCCAGAGTTCAGAAACAAAGAGAACACAATGAAAGTTAAAATTCAACAGTTTATGTTGTGTTTTTACTTTTAGTAAATAATTTATTTCGCAGTCTTTACCATAATACATTTTTGGTTTATCTAATTAAAATATTTTACTTAATGTATATATGTAGATTTATAACATCTACACAATTATATTATTAGTATTATTTTATTTTATTATTTTTTAAGGTGATCTGTTGTTAATTTTTATTATTATCCCTTAAACCGTCAGGTTTAGCGTGCAAATTTTTACGCTATAATTTTGAAAGAAAATTGAATTCTAAAAAAAAAAAATTTTTTTTTTAATAAATTTTTAATCTAATTGGTTATAATAACTTTCAAAAACTCAAGACACATGACAAACTCCACAGTTACAGTGTGAAACATTCCATGCGGCCTAAACAGGAGTATAAATTTACACGATGGCCAAAAAGTATACGTACTATTTTACCGATTATGCGAAGATGTAACCTGATCAGTATGGTATAGGTTCGATTTTTAAAAACTATACCATACTGATCAGGTGTTATAATTTAGGGTTAGGATTAGAGCGGAATTATAGTTAGGGTTAGGGTTTATAGCAGATTAGTATAGTTTTAGTTGCCTATACCATACTGGTCAGGTTACCTATACCATACTGCTATTCTGTAATTTCCTATTTTACTTATATCTTTGGGACATCTTATTTCTATAATATTAATTTCAAAAACTGATTATATAAAGTTGATTATAAAAAATCTTTAATCAACTTTAATGTAAAATTGATTAAAGATTTTTCATAATCAACATTATATAATTAGTTTTTGAAGTTAATATTACACTTTAATTTTCAAATTTAATACTAAATATTTTTATAATATAATATCATATACAAGTTCTTTTTTTAAGCCCTCTCAAAAATATATTGCAACACTAGGTTTAGGTTAGGTTTAGGTGAAGCTAAATATCACATGAGTATGATATATCACACCATATGATAGTTAGCTTAACTTAAACCTAATATAAACCTAATATAAACCTAATCTAATCTAATCTAAACCTAATATAAACTTAACCTAAATCTAATTTAAACCTAACTTAAACCTAACTTAATATTAAATTTAAGTTAGGTTAGGTTTAGGTTAGATTTAGATTAAGCTAGGTATAATATACTTAGCATATTTTCCTTCTTTAGTATAGCTCTGTATATCCTATAAATTAACTCATAGGTTAACCTACAGGCCAACCTATGAGTTAACCAGTAAGTTAACCTACAAATCAACTTATAAATTAACTCATGAGTCAACCTATAAGTTAACTTATAGATCAACTCATGAGTTAACTTGTGAGTCAACCTATAGGTCAACTCATAAGTCAACCAGTAGATTAACCTATGGATCAAATCATAAGTTAATTCATAGGTCAATCTATAAGTCAACTCACAAGTAGTGTTTGTACTCGGGTAATCAGATATCTGAGTAGTGATTATAGCTACTCAAGTAGATTTAACTAGGTAATATCTGAGTAGATATAACTAGATAATACCTGAAGGTAATTACTAAATTACAGCAAAATATCATAAATATATTTCATATTCATATATATAGTATGTATAGTTGATTCTAGCAATCTGACTAGTTGATAGAATTCATCTGAAGTGATCAGCAGAGAGAGTTTTCATTAGAACTAGGCAAAAATTTTAGTGCAACAATTCCAAGTTCTCATACTCTTCTATTACTATCAATTTTTTATATACTATCTAATCAGAATACTGAAAATACAAAACCAAATCCTTCTTCACCAATATTTCAATCTTATCTAGTTTATTGAAAGAAATCCATTCAATTACTTCCTTATACGAAGTAACTCTAAGTTGAAAGTCTTTCATAAAGTTATCAATATCCTTATTTCTACTTGTCCATTCTTGAATTGTATTATCAGGATCATATGTATTACACTATATATTATTTATGTTATTTTTATTACAATATTCACATTTTCTATATCTAGAATTACTTCTAATTTTTAAATGATTAGTTATTTATATGATTTTTAAGCTCTAATACAAGTGATCTTTATACTCATTGACTAAATTAATACAAATAAAAAAATTATTTAATAAGTAAATATTTATAAACATAAATTGCAGATTTTAAATAACTCAATAATTAATCATAAACTTACTCTCTAAAAGATTAAATAGTTTTGAAAATATTTAGGTTTCTAATTTATGAGAATATTTAGATTTCTAATTTAAGATAAATAATTTAATAACAACTAGCTTACTTAAAAATCTATTAGAGTATTTATTTCAAATTAAATTCCATGTCAATTTCATATTTGTAACAAATAGCAGTTTTAAAAATTCTATTAGAATTACCTGCTTCAGCTGATTTCTAATAATATATAAATGTTTTATGCTTATCTATTTCAATACTAATTCTTGAATAATAACAATAGCTAACTTAATACATTTAGTTAAAATTATTCATATCTGCAAATTTTTTATAATGAATAAATGCTTGATTTTTGTTTTTTTTAACTCTAATTTCATATTTGTAACAATAACTAAACCAGAATATTCTGTTTAGATTATTTATATCTGCAGATTTTTAACAATCAATAAAATTCAGTTAATTAAGAATACTAGGGTGTTCTCAAACACTTCAATTATAGCTAAATTAATAGATTAGAAGATCAATTTTTAATTAGCAAAAAATAATTTTACTAATTAAAAACTGATCTTTTGATCTATTAATTTAGCTATAATTAAGGTATTTGAGAATACTTCTAGTCATTTTAGTAACATCATACAATGAAACTAATATCTTTTTGTTTCATTCTATAAATAAATAAAAAAAAGTTATTAAATATTAATATCAAGAAAAAATAGTTACTACTATCGTCAATTAATTATAGCTATAGTTACTTTAGATATAAAATTAATCTGTTGCAGTTACTATTTTTGCTAAAATATATTAGTTAATATTATGGTCTCAGATATTATTATATCAAACTAGTACAGTTAAAAAAAATCAAAATATCGATATAATATAAACTTTTATACCAGATATATCTGTTGATTATTTAGATAATCTGTGAGTTCACCTGTTAGTAACTCGAGTGGTATTTTTTTAGTCAGATACAAACACTACTCATAGATCAACTTATGAGTTAACTCATAGATCGACCTATAGATCAACTTATGAGTCAATTTATGAATCAACTCACAGGTCAATCTATTAGTCAACTCACAGATCAACCTATGATTTAACTAGTAGATTAACCTGCAGAACAACTTATAAGTCAATTCACAAGTTAAACTATAGGTCAACTCACAGATCAACTCAGGTTAACTTGTGAGTTAACTTATAAATCAACCAGTGGATCAACTAATAAATCAATCTGTAAAAGACAGAACCTATAGGTTAAAAATCCAAATATTAATAAAATTCAATAAAACTTGTCTTATATAAAGTTCTAAAATAACACAATTACTAAATCATTATGTTATAGCTCTGATCTAATTAAATAAACTATAGTATAATATTATTAATTTATTCGTATCATTAGTTATAAAGTTAGAGTTAGATCAGAAAGTTTAAACTTTATATCAAAATTGAGAATAAATTTTTTATTTAATCTGCTGCATATTAATATACTTATCTAAAGTTAAAGTACATAAATTAGTAGATATTTGTAAATACTCTAAAATTCTAATTAGTTAATATTACAAAAAATTACATGCTGGAAAATTTTGTATATTAGTATTTTGTAGTGTTGCATTTTTTTTTTTGTATAATTGAAGTTTTTCATTCGATGGTCTTCAAAATTTTTTTATAAGTATTAGATAGATTACCATAAGTTAAATAAAAATCAGATACTTTTATAAGGGAAAATTTGTTTGTTTTTTTTGCTAATTTAAGAAAAAAAAATTATAGATAATACTTAAATTATTAATTTAATTTTTTTTTTTTTTGTTGTTAAGGCGGCTTACATTGCCAAAAGAATTTTATTAGAATTGTCAATAGGATTATATATTGATAATTCCTACTATTTGTAATTATATGAAGAGTGTATAACAAGCTACATATATAACTTTAGTCATTGTCTATTTTAAGTAGTCAGCTGCACAGGTGTTAGGCCACCCAATTGGTTCTATACTATGCTGCTATAATGGTAACCTGCTTGTGAGTTACCTATTTAAACACTCTGTTCATTAACCCATACAGATCCAACCTAATATCACTATAATACCTAACTGCTTAAGCTAGCTAGCTCATTACGAATCTATTTATCCAAATAGCTTAGTTCTTCTTAGGATACATTGTACTAGATATACTGCTAATACCGCAGAGCCAGTTAATCTCGAAGCAAATCTACTAGAGCAGTCCATACCTATTTTATGAATTTACCTAGCTTAGATCCTTGTAGATATTCGTACAACACCAGGTTCTACTGTGGTCCTCCACTAGTTGGTTAACCTAGTCCTTTTCTAGTATTCAGCTAGTCCCATTTACCCTTCACTCAGAGATCTCAAAACCTTCTACCTTTATTAAACAGAGTTTTCTTTTCGGATCAGTCTTTAGCTAATATAGTCCTGTCAGAAGGCTGTACTACTTTACTGACTCTGGATTTCTACTATACAGGTCCTCTACTTATATATCTTAT